CGACGATGACGAACTACCCGAACCAGGCGGATCTCGGCGCGAATCTTTGTCTCGTCTTCCGTCGGCTTCGTCGCGAACGGCTGCCTCGAATCGTTCCCCCGGCAAGCAACGGCGACCGCGACGTTCGATCGGCTGACGTCTCCGTGACGGCAAACAGATTTAGGTTCCATAGTATTTTAGTCGCTAAACTCGAGAGCTAACTTTAGATAAATCATCTTCGCCTAATCTCAAAGAACAGGTATATAATCGCTAGAATCTCTCTGTTCGCTACCGTTCGCTCGGTGATTAGGTAGTGTTAATTACTCCCTACTACGTGGATCTCGCTGCTCGCTTATCGTTTATCGCTTATCGGCTAGAATGACTCGCTCTTCCTTTTTCTTTTGGTTTTCTCTGGCTCCGTTTTTTCGTGTTTTGTTCTCATTGCTTAATTCGCTCTGTCGCGTTGCTACTAATCGTTTTAGGAATTTCGGTGACGGGCGATCGATCGATCGACCGACCGACCGATCGATCGACCGGACGCTCTGGTTAGCCTGAGAAGAGAATGGCGCGCGCTCGTTTCGTCCCGGAAAAGCTTCGATCGCGTGCGAAACCTAGGAAAAATTACGGATGAACGATCCGCGGCCGAATCTCGGCCGCGCGTGTTTCGTAACGGGCCGCGAAGGAACGGGATGGAAAACAGGATTCGGGAGGTGCCGGGAAATCTCGGGAGGACCAATGAGGCGTCCGATGCGGTCGCGTGCTACCGAAACGTCCTACGATCGACTCACGCGAACCACTCGTGATAATTGACTCGTACGAATTACCTGTCGCGATAATTGACTAGCGCGAGCTACACCGGAAGGGAAACGAATTTACATCGATCGGTCGGGAGCACGGATTTTTCTGTTTCGTTTTTGGTTTCCTTGACGCGTTCACCGCCGGCGCACGCGACGCATCCAAGTTCCGAGCCGATGCCGATCAAATTTTTACTTCGATATCTATTTCCGCGTCGACCGATCGGCAACGATCGCGCGACAGTGTCGGATTCGTCGAAATATCCGCGGTCCAAGACGTTCCGCGTCCTACTCGAAGGACGCGATCGATCAACGAAACGCGAATCTGGAAAAAAGCCCGTCAAGATTTCCCAAAGATCGAAGATTTTTGGGAAATTAAATCTACCTCGATTTCGAAGGGATTTTCAGCAGAATCGCGCGCGATTACAACGGAAGTAACGAGTTCCATAAAACTTCGAATGTTCAAAGGCGAAAGAAACGGAAGTTTCTAATTCCAGACACGAAATGCCGTAGTTCCGAAAGTTCCGATTTTACGACGTCGAAATCGTAAAGTCAGCGTTTAAATAATTTTCGTGCTGCCGTTAAACCGCTCCGATTTCACGATGGAACTACCGCGGATTTTATAATTCCTGCCTGGACACGGCGATTCCATTGTTTCGCAGGGAATTTTTCAAGCTTACGATTCCGCCGGGAGTTGGGATCTTCGATTTTTAGTTCGATACCGTTTTATGTCCTCGCCGTGTGCCGTAAATCATCCACGTCCTCTCATTAAAACGGCTTCGAGTTCGAAGCGTTGATAAAAGAGATGCATAGCGAACGTTGATTTTGGACCGAAAAACATTCGTGTCCTGCGGCATATTTCGAAAATAGAACGGCTGATCGAGCGCGCGTCTGGACCACGAAGTAGCACAATAATGTCTCCCTAATTGACGCAGAGATTGTGCAGAAAAATGGTCAATTTGGGAAGCGGAGATACGATTATTCGAGCCTTGCAGCTCGTTTTTATAGTTGTTGACAATTCGTGACTATAAAAATGAACCGCAAGGATCGAGAATAACCGTATCTCCTCTCCCTAAATTGTCCATTTTCGTGGACAATCCGAGCGTCGATTAGAGAGACATTGCTGTATCTGTCTCTTATACACATCTAGATGTGTATAAGAGACAGCCCTAAATTGTCCATTTTCGTGGACAATCCGAGCGTCGATTAGAGAGACATTGCTGTATCTGTCTCTTATACACATCTAGATGTGTATAAGAGACAGCCCTAAATTGTCCATTTTCGTGGACAATCCGAGCGTCGATTAGAGAGACATTGCTGTATCTGTCTCTTATACACATCTAGATGTGTATAAGAGACAGCCCTAAATTGTCCATTTTCGTGGACAATCCGAGCGTCGATTAGAGAGACATTGCTGTATCGAATGGTGTTCAATCCAGCGGTTGATACAAGCTTTGAAAAATTCTCCGCGATGTACCGGATGGCGAACGGTGAACGCGTTCAAGCCGAGAAAGAAAGCTGGAACGGGCCAGTGCGCGGTCCCCTCACGCCAACCAATTACAAGTCCCACCCGCACTCGGTGTCTCGTTTCGACAATCGATAAGGCTACTTCTCAAGCGGTTACAATATTAATGTAATAATAATCGACAAACTCTCTCTCCACTCGTCGTTTACACGCTACTTTGTGTATGTATATCCGGATGATTTCCAGTTAGTCGTAATGTTTAATGGTAATAATAGTAATAGTAGCAATATAATAATAATAATCATCATCATCGTAATAATAATAATAATAATAATCCACAATAATAATAATAATAATTAACGTTATCATTATTATTATCCTCGCTGTTTCTTTGTTTTCTTCATCTTTTAAACTTGTTATCTGTATGTAAGTTACATATATCCACGCGATTCCTTTTGTTTCTTTCTCCACTCTCCCCCTTATCTCCTCCTTTCTTTTTCTCGCTCCCTTTCGACCCTAACTTGTTTTCACCGTATCTACGTACCGGTCTCATTCCTTTGTCCCAAATCTGAACGAATTCTTACGATCTAGAAAGATGTCGGCACGACCGCGAACGACCGAGGCATCGGGGACCCGTTCGACGCGTTCGCCTCGCCTCGCCTCGCCTCGTCTCGTCTCGACTCGCCTGTTATCGCGGATTCGTTGATAACGATTGTGGTCCGATTGTTTCCACGTCGGCGTTCGCCTCGCTTCGCGGACCCGTGGGTCGACAGTTGTCGCGGCCTGCTCGCCACCCCCGCGCCCTCGCGTCGTCCCCGTCTCGGGCGCCTCTTTGTTCGTCGCCGTTCGGCCGAACGACCGATTCTCCCGAAATAGTTTCGCGTCCACGGTCGCCACGGACCGTCGAGAAGCTGCTCGACTCGGACAGCCGGAGTTACGACAAAAGATAGACCGATCAGGGCCGGCCACTTCGAACGCGAAACGGCGCCGCCGTTTCGAAACGTTCGCTGTGCCCGCGAGATCCTCGATCGGATCCCACCGAATTTAACGCGTTCGCTGTCTTTCTCGCACGTTTCTCTCGACCACTGTCGCGTCTCGGATTAAATGAAATTAGACTCGGTTACACGATATCTTGCAACGAGCGATACGTCGCGGGTAAACGAGCGCCGGCAGCGAACGCGTCGACGGAGCTCGGTCACGGCTGAATCGGTATCGTAAAGAATTAGGAATATTTTCAGAGACGGTTTCCTCTCGGCTCCTGTTACGGTAAATCCTCCCTAATCGACGCTCGGCTTGGAAACAAGAACGGACAATTTGGGAAGAGGAGCTGTACGATTGTTCTAGCCTCGCGACTCGTTTTTATGGCCGTCGACGATCGGTGACCATAGAAACGAGCCGCGAGGCTCGAACAATCGCATCTCCTTTTTCGAAATTCTCCATTTTTGTGTACAAGCCGAGCGTCGATTAGGCGAATTTACCGTATACGATCCGAGACGATCGTCGCTTTTCGTATCAGGGAAAGCAGCATCGAAATATTTCGCCGATTTACGACACCGCGCGACAATCAATCGGAATACCATCGACGAACAGAACGATCGCAACGTAAAGAATCGTGTAAAAGTTCGACCGGAACGAATGGCAGCGTACATTATTCGCGAACATGAACAGCGCACGGTTTCGCAGGCTCGCAGGAGATTCGAGCATTAGATCAATCGAACGCGAACTTGTGCTCCCCTGAACGCACGCAGCCTGGCCTTCATGGACTATCAAAAATTCAAAGGCAAAGTTTTGCCGGCTGATCTCTAAATAAATCGAGGGGCCGAAGCGGAACTGCAGTTGGTAGAAACGAGAGGAGAAAAGTTTGTTTTTTTTATAGGGTCAAGGGAATGGAAATTTTCTAATGACAGTTGATAGAACGGAGAAACTTCTCCCGGGGAACTGTTCGAGGAAACTCGATGGCGAAAAGAGTGTAACAGAAGGCGAGAATGAAAGTCCGATTACGGAGAACGAGGCGAACCGGGTATCGGGATGGAGAAGGGAGAGAGAGCGGGATTCTATTAAGAAGAAAAACGCGAAGAAGATCTTATTAGAGGAAGAGAGGAGGGGTCGAAGAGGAGGGCGAAACGAATTGCGTCGGGGGAGAGAAGCGAAGCAATGAAAGAAATAAGGAGGGAGGTCGTATCAAGAATCCGAAGAGCCCTTTTTAATGAAAACTTTCTCACCGGGAAACGCAAACGAACGTTCTCTCTCTCCAGCCGGAACGAGAAGAACGCGAGCGTCGCCGCAGGATCGTTTTATAAAGGGAACGGAAGAAACGCGCGCTCGGTAATTCGAGGATTTTTCAAAACAAAATTAAACTTTCCGCGGCGGAGCGCGGGATGAAATCCGATCGTTCCTTCCGAAGAAGGATTACGCTTCCCCGCGGAGGGAAAACGATATTCTCGTCGGAGAATATAATCGGATGAGAGCGGACGGCGAAGACAGACGAGTCTGATATTTCCGAAAACGAATGAGAAAGTTTCTTTCGTGGAGAGAAATTTAGGTTCGCCGATGAAGAAGCACGGCTCCCTCGAAGAAGAAGAACGAGAACAAATAAACGCGGCGAGGAAAACTTCGGAAAAAGGAAGAATACATATTTCTGCGGCCGGGAGGAGGAAGAGAAGTTTGCGCAAACACGATGCAGCGCGGCACCGACGCGGAAGGCTTTTATTGACCCCGCGCGTGACCAGAGACCGTTCCGTCGATCCCACTATCGAGATTTCTTTTTTCTTCCCCGTCGTTACGTTATCGCGGAAATAAAACGAGGAGGGCAAACAGAGAGGCGGGGAGGGAGGAGGATCGCTGCTAGGTTCCGTCTAAATTGAATTCGTGGACCGGGCAGAGAGCTGACCGGTGGAAATTCGCCCGCGAAGGAACCTCGATCGTCTCTCGAATACGGCTGTGCAGGCTATCCGTGAGAAATTATTCCCTCGATAGCCGAAGATATTAAAAACCGTGACGGCTGGGAAGGCTCTAGGCGACGGTCCAGCGGTCCCGACGACGAGAACGCGATCGTTTTCGCGGATCGAAAACGCGACGGGAGACCCTCTGCGCCGAAAAACGGGTTATTGGAAAGCCGTGGAATCGGCGGTCTTCTCGGTTATTGCGGAGGAAGGTTGTTAAATGGTCGCTTTCGAGCTGGAAACATCGGGCACGGCTGGTGCCGCGTTTAACAATTTTTTAATAAGCAGCACCATGCTTCCCCAGAGTAGAAAATACCATTTCCGTGGCAGTTGAGAAATGATTACCCCGAAACGACGTCGAACAACGTCGGACAAACAAGTTTTCGCGATACCTGATAGCTCTCCTTAATTTAACCGGATTCTCCTCGTTCTTCCGATAACGTTCTTTTATAGGACATCGATGCCACGCGGCGATCAAACATCGTCAAACAAGTTTTTATAAAACGCGGCAGCTTTTCGTGAACTAAATCGATTCCACCGACGCTTCGGCGCTTCGCGTTATTTAACGGAAAAAACAGATGGATTCGTTTCTCGTTAAATGTATTCCAGAGAAAGTCCTGCAACTTTCAAAAGATTAGCTTCGCGAAGAAACTCGAAGTTTCCGATTGATCTTCACGTTTTGCGTCGAAACATTCCCCTGATACGTGAAAGTGTTTCGCTGCGAGGGCCGTCGAAAGAAATTTGAATGGGGAACGGATTCCAGAAACGGGAACAGGGAAACGAAGAAGAACGCGCAAACCAATGGCGAGAGAAATAAAAACGTTGCTTTAAAAGTTGGAAGCAGAGTCGAAACATTTGAACTCCGCTCGAATTATTCTCAGCTGGGAAAAAAAGCAGGAACGCAAGCAACGGCTTCTCGAAAGATTAAAGCAGCGTTACGGAAAGGTTTGCGAGAAGTTTCAAGATTTCGTCAATCCCCGAACCCGTATTAAGCAAGTTCTCGAACAAGAATGCAATTACGTTCGAAGGACCTCGAGGATCGGGAGGTTCAAAGCGAGATTGGAAACTCGATAATGGACTTGACCACTTTAAAATATGAACTCCCGGCGAATTCCATCGTGCTAAGCAAATCTTCAAAGACGCGGGAACACAATGACGTCGAGGAGCTTGAAACTTCCCTCGGACCTCCGTTAACTTCGAACACCTCTCCGAGGAAACAAGAACATAATCGCGTCGAAAGAACTCCGCGGGAGCAATCGAGAGATCAAGGATAACGGGGAAGCCCGAAAGACGGTTTAAAAATCGGGGCCGGCCGCTCCGGAGCGCGAGAATCGGCGAACAAAAAAGAATTGCACTGGAGGCCCGCGACGAAGATTCGACGATCGATCGATCGATCGATCCGGACGCGACGACGAACGAGCTCGTTAAAATCCCGGCTGGCGAGAAGAGGCTGCGAGCGCGCGAACGAGGCTGGCTGCGCGGCGGGGGTGGCGATTTTCGGTGATTTTCACTGATCGACGAGCGACAACCGTCGACTCGTCAGCGTCCAGTCAGCAAAATGGCCAGGGCGATCAGGCGTGAACGTCGTTAATGTACGGCGCAACGTTCTCCGACCTTGTTCTCGCGTTCGATGGATCCCGGTGCTTCCGTTCGCGGGCTCTTGGTCGCTTCTAGCGACGTATTAGCCACGAAGGGTCCGCCCGACGAGGAGAGCCGCCATCGCGACCCCGAGGAATACCACGGTGCTGCTGGCCGTCAACGACGGCCCGGAGTTGCAGCCATCTTGCTGGCAGCAGTACGTCTTCGTGCTCCAGGCCTCTGAAAAGAAAAAACAGAAACGCCGATTATCAAGCTTGCCGCCGAAAACGTCGCTGTTTTCGCGATTTGTCGGGCGACGGTGACCGTTTACGTCGAGGGGCGTCAACTTGGGGCACGTTTGGAAACGCTGGTTAATTAATCGATCCTTTGGTCGTTCGTGGATAGATTCGCATCGACGTATCGTCGAGGCACTTCGAATCATCGACTTAGTTTGGAAACGCCTGTCATCGATCATCGAGCAACCATGTGTCTTCCCATGCACGAGATTACCGTTCAAAACGCATGACAAATGCTGCAACTGTACTCGCATAATGGACATACAGTAATGTCTCCATGACTGACGCTCAGATTGTGCACAAAAGCACAAGTGCATCGAGCGGACGTCGCCCGATGACAAAGGTTACATTAAAATATAAGCGAACGATCGCCGCAACTCGTTGTTCCATCGTTTCCTTCCACCGTCGGTTCGCGGCTACGTTTTCCCAGCTAATTTCATCGATCTTCGTCGCGCGAACCGAGAATTCGGTGTGCCGGCTCTAGAAAGCACGCGGATTGTATAAATTGCACGAGACACATGCTCTCCGATTTTTAAACCTTGACGAAACCGTCTAAACAAGAGCGAGATCGTCGTATCGTCCGGTCCCACGTTGTGGACTCCCGAGATTGCTTCGATTCAAGGCAGATTTACCTTTCCCCAGGCAAATGGTGGAGCGAAAAAGAAGAGGAGAAACCCGATCTGAGGACAATCGATGCCTAGCTGGCTCTCGATTCGAATCGGACGAGGTCTCGCGAGTCCCTCCGTCGAGGAACCGGAGAAACAAAAGGAGGACCGGCTTCTCCCAATCAATCGTCATGCGATCCCCGCTCGCCCATCGTACTTCCGTGCGGAAAGTCAAGAGGCTACTAATCCGGAAAACCTAACAGAGAAAGGGTCCGGGAAGAGGACTCGTCTTCTGTCTTGCTTGTCCGATGGGAAGGAACGTCGAATTCGGTATTCGAGCGGATTAGAATCGACGGACGGACGTGATCGAGCACTGATTGCGTCTCGTTCACGTCCTTTTTCTCTTTTTCTTGGCCCCTCTCTCTCTTTCTCTCTCTTTCTCCTTTCGGTTAAAAATGGGCGAACACGAGGGAAGCAAGAGGCAGATGGTCGGTTAGATTCGGCGCCAGGATCGTGCCGAACTGTGTCACGGAACTGGACGACGTTACTAATTTCTATTCAATTTACCGTACGGGCAACTGCTGGGACAGTTCGGGAAGCGCCCAGTCTTGGAAATTAATCGGGAGTGTGGATCGAAGCCTTTTCCCGGTTCGCGGAAAATTAAATTTGCATGTTCCGCTTGACGCCGACACCTTCTGTCGCGCACGTTGGTTTGGTCGGGGTCGGGCGAAAAGGAGATTTTAGATATATTGCCGGAGAAATTGAAATTCGCGGTATACATATACGTAACTGCCAGTTAATTTTAATTGTGATCCGACAGAAATTCCGTTCCGCCAGATTTAATGGACGACTGGCGTGTTGTACCAGATGTAATCCAAACGTTACACGAGTAAACCCAGCCCAGATTTATCGCGAGCCGTCTCTATACCGAACCCCGACCCGGCATAACTTCGCTCTTCGCGTAATTAAGAATTAACGCGGACGCAATTTATATCCCTGCGAGGCACGAATTCGGGCTACGATTCTCTATGATCTAAAATACATTAGAGCCGGTTTCGACGAGCTGCTCTAGGCTACGTTCCGTGTAGAGGTTCGGTCAAGCGTAAATTAATGAACACGCGCGAGAGATACCCCTCTCGGGAGACTGGTAGAATTCGATCGAACGAGCTTAATTCTCGAGCGAAACCATGATCGGGAGTCTTGGCGTATCTTCCGCGAAAATTTTCGCTCGCGCACGTTCGACGAGCATCAATTTTGAGATTAAATCGCCGCGGTATCCGACGCGCGCGATAAATGTCTCCGATATTGCGGAATACCGTGTACCGTCAAAGCCGATGCACTCCATTGTGCGGCAAACTGGAAGGTAATCCATCCTATCTCGACTCTATGATCCACCTAATTTAAATCTAGAAGCTATGCGAGCCGGTCGCAACCTCGGATATTCCGGCGTCTGACCACACGCGGCCTCCCGCCACCGAATTCCAGGGTCCCGTGAATTTTTCATGCGGAGTCTCGCGTCGCGGAAACCGGTTGTCGTAAAAGGTGCACCCGGCTTTCGCGGCACCGGTCAGGTGAAAAATTTGAAAGCGACAATTCCGGGAACCGCCCGCGAATTGAATCTTCTCGCCCGGGATCTTCGCTCGTTCGAAAGGCACGGATCTCCACCGTGTTCCAGCACGTTTTTAAACAGAAATTTCCGTGACCCGACGCTTTTCTTATTTATACGGATGAAATATTCAGGCGAACTCGGACTCGCGAAGGACGGCCGGGCGTTCCAACCGTTAAAGAAACTAATTCTCCCGGTCAAATTGCTGGTCCCGGGACAAAGAGCTTTTCACGTTCGGAGGACATGAAAAATTATGTCAGCCGTGAGACGCTATTCACAATTCTTTATTCGAACCGGCAGCGTCGCAACGACGAGCTGCGCGCCCATGATATTTCTGGCAGGAAATATTATGCTCCGTTCCGTGCAGTAATTTATTTCTATCGCGAAAAGTTGATCGGTCGATGATGGAAATTCTTTCATTGTATACTTTGTTTTCTCCACGCTTGTACTAGCATTTTCAACCGGCAGCAAATATTCTTACGAAATCGGCGAGGCGAATCGTCGAACGATCTCCATCGAAAGACGTAATAAACGTAGCGTAATAAACGGACCGCGTTGTCTCGTGCAAATTTCCATTTTTCCAGCTTATCTCGTGGAAATTGGAATCGGACAAAATCCCCGTCGAACGAAACAGAATAAAAATGTCGTCGATGCGACGTCGACATTTTGCTGCGTTTCGAAAACGCGAACGATCGCTCCTGTTATCGTTAAGAACGAGAAATCCGAGCTCGGTTGCTCTCCCGAACCAGCGTAAGAAAACAGCGCGCGAAGAAATTCGAGCGGACGCGCGGGGTTCGCGTGAAACGAAGCGGACAGCTACGCGTTCGCTCGTCGAACGAGCCCGTTGCTTTCCGGCGTATTCTTCCAGAGGATCGCGGAAGCCGGGGAATTGAACGGCGAGCATAATTCAAGGGTAGACGAGCAGATTGAAATCGTTCATCGGGCCGTGTAAAATGCAAACGGTAGGAGAGCGGTAATTAAATTCTAAACAGGAAGATCCGACGGGTACGGAAAAAGGAGAAGTTACCTGACGCTAATCCGTGTAAACCGGGAGATCCGTGGAAACAGAATCGAGGGGGGTAAAAATTTAACACATTGACTGGTAACACGTACACTCCATTGTGCGAGTCGAGAGGATTACAAAAGTTTCCTGGGATTTTCAGTTCGGAACCGGGGACGAGAGATTCCCTCGTTCATTCAGCAGACCCGTTCTCCCCCCCTGTCCCCAGTCCCCGATTCCTCTCGCCTGGTTCTCTCTCTTTAATCGCATTACGCACGTCTGTCGTCGCGACGCTCCCGTCGACGGGTTTTTGCACGACCAACATTTTGCAGGTTACCGTTTGATAAGGAGCGGCCGAGTTCACAGGCCTTCCGGCTCTCCTTCCTGCTCTCCTTCCGGCCCTCCTTCCGGCCCTCCTTCCGGCGCCGATTGTCACCGCGATTTGTTATCGCGGACCCGCCGAGCCTTAACGACACTCCATTTTAATGGGGGAAATTGCGGGCCGAACGACATCCCCTAATGAATTCTACGGCCATTCGTACCGACCCCGCTGCAATTCCTTTCATTGCCGTTATTCCGATCGAGGAGATATTACCGTTCCAAGTGTCGTTCTATAGGTTTGCTTTTTCTCGCTCGTGGCACTGTTTTCTACCGATTTTTCGGTAATAATAATTTTTCAGTAATAATAATACATTTTGAATGATAAGAAAGCGGAGTTTCATACAGAATAAGAATCGCAGCATCGGTTGCAAGATACAAGATCTACGTGAACATTGTTTCCCTTTTCAATGAATTCGAGATGATAGACCGGTGTTTCAAAATTCCTCAAAATATATAGCATTACTTTTAAATTATTAGATCGCGAATTTTTGAGCAGACGATGAATTGCCCGCGTGCATTGCAAACCGCAGACGATCACGTATTAATTGCACTGTCCGCATTTGTTTGTAACAGGCTGTTACATCTATTTGCTCGAATCGTATGTCAAATTGAAACATTTCTGGCCAGGGAGCAAACGATATTAATCGAATCTGTGATACTGTTAATAAACGATAGATGATGGTTGGGGGATCGACAAGCGATTTGAATTGTACATCGACTGCAGCAGGAGTATAAGTCTGTCAGCAGTCGGATCAACAGCGCGGAGGTGGCATTAGATACTCGAGTGGTGTGCATCAATCAGTAAGGAGACAAGTGGAACAAGATCGTCCCGTGTCAGCCGAGAGACGATAGATCGATCCGACTGTAGTGTTACGATACTGTTTGGGTTGATACAGTCGCGGACACGATATTCCGAGGACGCGAAGCGTTGGAACGAATTCGTAACGATCGGGCAAGTAGTATAAATTCTGCTATATGGTCAGACTCGATTAGCAATATATAATTTCAGCACTTGACATATGCGAACAAATGGCGCGAAGCCTGTAAGACTGTCGGTCAACGATGATCGGACGAGCATTTTCTTAATATCGTCGGGCAAGTAGTTCGATTCCGCTATGGTGGGGCAAGCAACGTTTCTTTGCACGGTCGGCCAAGTAGCATTGTCCAGCCACGGTTGGACAGGTAAAAGTTTCTGCGTGTACTTCGCACGATTCTTCGTTCCACCAGAGCATCGTAACACTTAAATTAGATCCTCGCAAATCTCGGTCCGATTAAAAGGAATTCGTTCGAAAATACAGTCTATTGCAACGTTCGAAATGGCATGGGTTCTTCGAGGTCGAGTTGAAAACGTAGCGTGTTCCTGCTTATGAGACAAAAATCCCTCGGATCATCAGAGGAATGATCCAGGAGAATCCCTGCGAGTTCATTGAGAAGATACGGTTTCTGTGGCCGGGTCAAAGGTACCGAGCGAAAAATCACGAGTCGTTTCATACTCGACGTGGAGAGGACGAGAGAGAGAGAGAGAGAGAGAGAGAGAGAGAGAGAGAGCTGTCTCTTATACACCTCTAGATGTGTATAAGAGACAGCGGACAAGTAGCATTCCTGTCTCTTATACACCTCTAGATGTGTATAAGAGACAGCGGACAAGTAGCATTCCTGTCTCTTATACACCTCTAGATGTGTATAAGAGACAGCGGACAAGTAGCATTCCTGTCTCTTATACACCTCTAGATGTGTATAAGAGACAGCGGACAAGTAGCATTCCTGTCTCTTATACACCTCTAGATGTGTATAAGAGACAGCGGACAAGTAGCATTCCTGTCTCTTATACACCTCTAGATGTGTATAAGAGACAGCGGACAAGTAGCATTCCTGTCTCTTATACACCTCTAGATGTGTATAAGAGACAGCGGACAAGTAGCATTCCTGTCTCTTATACACCTCTAGATGTGTATAAGAGACAGCGGACAAGTAGCATTCCTGTCTCTTATACACCTCTAGATGTGTATAAGAGACAGCGGACAAGTAGCATTCCTGTCTCTTATACACCTCTAGATGTGTATAAGAGACAGCGGACAAGTAGCATTCCTGTCTCTTATACACCTCTAGATGTGTATAAGAGACAGCGGACAAGTAGCATTCCTGTCTCTTATACACCTCTAGATGTGTATAAGAGACAGCGGACAAGTAGCATTCCTGTCTCTTATACACCTCTAGATGTGTATAAGAGACAGCGGACAAGTAGCATTCCTGTCTCTTATACACCTCTAGATGTGTATAAGAGACAGCGGACAAGTAGCATTCCTGTCTCTTATACACCTCTAGATGTGTATAAGAGACAGCGGACAAGTAGCATTCCTGTCTCTTATACACCTCTAGATGTGTATAAGAGACAGCGGACAAGTAGCATTCCTGTCTCTTATACACCTCTAGATGTGTATAAGAGACAGCGGACAAGTAGCATTCCTGTCTCTTATACACCTCTAGATGTGTATAAGAGACAGCGGACAAGTAGCATTCCTGTCTCTTATACACCTCTAGATGTGTATAAGAGACAGCGGACAAGTAGCATTCCTGTCTCTTATACACCTCTAGATGTGTATAAGAGACAGCGGACAAGTAGCATTCCTGTCTCTTATACACCTCTAGATGTGTATAAGAGACAGCGGACAAGTAGCATTCCTGTCTCTTATACACCTCTAGATGTGTATAAGAGACAGCGGACAAGTAGCATTCCTGTCTCTTATACACCTCTAGATGTGTATAAGAGACAGCGGACAAGTAGCATTCCTGTCTCTTATACACCTCTAGATGTGTATAAGAGACAGCGGACAAGTAGCATTCCTGTCTCTTATACACCTCTAGATGTGTATAAGAGACAGCGGACAAGTAGCATTCCTGTCTCTTATACACCTCTAGATGTGTATAAGAGACAGCGGACAAGTAGCATTCCTGTCTCTTATACACCTCTAGATGTGTATAAGAGACAGCGGACAAGTAGCATTCCTGTCTCTTATACACCTCTAGATGTGTATAAGAGACAGCGGACAAGTAGCATTCCTGTCTCTTATACACCTCTAGATGTGTATAAGAGACAGCGGACAAGTAGCATTCCTGTCTCTTATACACCTCTAGATGTGTATAAGAGACAGCGGACAAGTAGCATTCCTGTCTCTTATACACCTCTAGATGTGTATAAGAGACAGCGGACAAGTAGCATTCCTGTCTCTTATACACCTCTAGATGTGTATAAGAGACAGCGGACAAGTAGCATTCCTGTCTCTTATACACCTCTAGATGTGTATAAGAGACAGCGGACAAGTAGCATTCCTGTCTCTTATACACCTCTAGATGTGTATAAGAGACAGCGGACAAGTAGCATTCCTGTCTCTTATACACCTCTAGATGTGTATAAGAGACAGGAGAGAGAGAGAGAGAGAGAGAGAGAGAGAGAGAGAGAGGACTAGAAAGAGAGGGGGGAGAGGGGGTGGGACTGCTCCAATTTCTACGCGATGTGGGCACCGTTCGAAGAGGAGCAATTCCAGCGCGGTTGGTGCGGTAAACCGCGCGTACGCGATTCGACGTAGCCGCGCGTGCAACTCGGATTTCAAAGTGGCGGCGGCTGGCGGATCTACGTCTTTGAAGAGGGGAGGTCTTCGATTCTTCAGGAATCCGGCCTTTCAGGGAATCGCGCCAGCCTCGCCGTGCTCCAAAGAAATTCGAGGAGGATTCAATCCCGTTGCTTTTTATCGCGTATCTCCACAGTATACTCGCTCGAGTATCGTATGAGTTGAGCCATTCAAAGAAGATACCTGACCAATTAGAGCAGTTGCCCTCGCCTCCTTCGTTCTTCCTTAATGAAAGCCTCCGATTCGATCTTTTCTCCGCTCGCTAGCTGAACCGTACTCGGCTGAACAGTCAGCGATACGATCTACTGGTCGCAAGTTCTACGATCTACTGCTGAGAAGTAGTATAAATTTGTCGATGGTCAGGCAAGAGTAGGATAACCTCTGTCGGACAAGTAGCATTCATTCTTTAACGATCAGGCAAGTAGTATAGAAATGTTTAATAGGAAAACTAGGAGTATAAGTTCTGTAGTGATCAGACAAACGGTATAACTTCTTTGACGGGCGGACAAGAAGTACAAATCCAGTCGTGATAAAACACAGTCTGTTTTTGATCTATAAATTACACATTTTTCTCAATTTTCTCAATTTTACAATTGTTCGTACAAGAACGCGATTCCCTCTAGCAATCGCAGATCGATCGGCAACAAATGGATCGAAGGAATTCAATCCCGGCTGCTTTCTTGGAACCGTTTCTTGCCGATCCCGATTTCCAATTTCGCTTTTCTTCTCGACCCCTTGATCCCGGATTCGCGGATCATTCGGAGCAGAAAATTGGCCGGGGCTCGCGACGAGGGCCAGGTCCGAAAATTCAGCAACGCGGATCCCACTGTACGATCTCGCGAGCAAACGAATCGATCCGATAATTGCGCCGGATGGTGATACAGAATGAAATTGTTTTTGTTCAGCGGCGGGGGGGAGACAGATGCGACGAGTATTTCCGCTCGCCTGGGATCGTTTCAAAGAACGATTCTCATTCGAAAGTTTAATTGCTGCCGGGGCAAGATCGCGTCGCGGATTTGTTTGTCCGGGAGCATTAACAAGCGTTTCCACACGTGGCCGATATAAGTTGACACGGTTATCCGCGACGGGCTGCTCATCCCGTCGCTCGTTCAATCCGAACCGAATGAATTGCCTCGGAGAGCGGGTGTCTTTTTTTTTATCGGAACTCTAGACCTTTGTGCCGCGTGGATCGTTAAATCTTGACTTCTGTACTCGCGAGGAACGTTTCGCTGGTTTTCTTTTTTCGTGTCGGTGTCGGCGGAGTTTGAGACGTTGAACGAATACTCACCCTTTTCTACGCACTTCGGTACGCAATCTCGTACTATCGATCCCTCGCTGACGTATTTCTGAAACAAGAGAAAAAAAGGGATGTCATTGTCAGAACCGACTTCGTTGGATTTCTCGCGAGTCGCAAATTGACGGAGCGATCGGTTGTAATTAAATCGCCGCGCGATTCTCGGTTAAGAGTTTTTGTATTCGTGCCTGTCGGAAACGTTTCCGAAAATGCGCAGACGCGTGTCCAAATATTTACCGAACCGGAAAACCAATTTTTCTTTCTCCGCGCGTAATCCGACGCGACACGTTGCACGATCTAATGGAAGCGGCGAATATTTCGCAACGATTGTATGGAACGTACAAAGTCGGCAGTCGGTTATACGATCTGTACATGTCGATATCGATAATTCAGTTCCTTTGAGTCTTTCTAGTAAAACATTTGCGTTCGGTATTAACCGTCGAGCGTGGCATCCTTTATCGAATGACGTGCTTTATACGTGAAATTCGATTCGCGAAAGAAAAAGAGCCGGAGAAGGGATAACAAGGATCGAAGTTGTGTTAGAGGAGAAGCGGTATCGGGACCAGATATAACGGGGAAACGAAACAGAAGTGGGACAAAAGTATTAAGGTTCAACGGAAAAATCAATTCCCGTCGTCCCCATCGAATTGAAACAGCGAAAGTCTTGGGAAATCGGCCGCCTTCGGCACGCCCGGATTCGTGGAACAATGGAAGCCGTGAAATTTGAATTTATATTGGACCCGCGGCGGCGCGGGATTCTCGCCTTGCTCCCACTTAATCCTGCGATATTCTCGCCTCGGTTGTTTACGTATACATTAAATGCATATTCATGTCGGCAACATTTGTCGAAAAAATGTGATAGCCGGGACGCGAAATATTAACGCGCCCGCCGACGATAACGAACTTGACTGACATTTACATCCTCGCGGATCTCTCAAATATCTCTCAAATAGAGAACAATTCGTACATGGAAACGACGACGTAGGCTGGAAGGGCAGAGATAAAATGGCTTCGGAAAGAAATCGCTTCGAACACCGAACTTCCGAAATTTGCAATTTTCAAGATATCTTTGATATTAGAACAGCCGCCATTTCGGAAGAAAAAATCATGCGACGTTCTAATTGGACTGGCTTCGAAGCTCGAAACTTCAGCTTTAATACACCGTTGTTCATTTTTATGCAAAAATTTTCTGCACGTTATTACAGGTGAGAAACCGAAGCCGTTCCATCTGCTGCATTTTTTGGGGGAACAACGCGTCGTCGGTTTCCAACTTGTATCATGCGAAAAAATCTCGACCAAAAATGAACAATGGCTTGCAGAAGAGGAGGCTTCGAGCTTTCAAATGAGCGCAGGTTCAGTGCCGTAGCATGCTTTTTCACGAAATTATAGCAGTTCGAGTATCCAGCCTTTTTCTTCTTTCAATGTTTCCTTCTATTTCATTCGTGTTATAAATAATATAATGTTAATCGATTCCCGTGTCTAGAACTGTGCTGGTAACTGATTAAAAAATCATTCTGATAAATCGAGGTCCATATTTAATAGGTTAAATTCATTAGCCCCGGACAGGTACTGGTTTCTTTCGCCAGCCTGACCAATTATTGATCGTCTCCATTCGTTAACTTAAATGTTGAACCTTTGCTACTTGCTCCGGAAAAACTGGCCCACGTTTCTTGCCTTTTCAGTGCCTAATATACTCAACTAATTACACTATTATAGAAACAGATTCGTATCGTTCGTATCATCGTAATGCTTGTCCGGTCAAACACCGACCTATTCTACTTCCGAAGTCAAAATTACAGGTTCCGTCGCAATTGATTAAAAATATTCACAGTTTCAAAACGCATTATAAATACACGCAGCTGAGAACGTTCGTGTCCTGTTTCGTCTCTGTTAAAAATCTAATAGCTATACATTGTGACAACTCCGTTCAAAATTGAAAAGACGCGTGCTCTAAAATTTATCATGGATGCGTGCAGCTCAAAAGTTCCACAGCTACGCTCGATATTTCTGTTAAAAATTGAGAAGACGCGTATTCAAAAATTTGTCACATATACGCAGTTAAATATTTCCACAGCTTCGCCGATGCCCCGTGAAAAATTGAAAACCGAATCTAAAGGATATCGACGAAGCTCCGATAAAATCTCCGGGAAAATGTGCTGGCCGGCTTATCCGCGAGCCTAGCCGGCCGGGGAAACACCGTCAATATCAATCTCCATGTTTCCCGAGAAAATATTGAGACTTCTGATCACGGCGGCGCGCGCTTTGCCGGCGCGCAGATGCCGTTTTCCGGTCCTTCTGGCCCCGATCGAATATCAATGAGTCCGGCGCGGGCGATTTTCAATCGCGCCGATGAACTCTCCTTAATCGACGCCGAGGGTCCGCCGCAAGCCGGATCTCCGATCTCCGACCTCCGATCTCCGACCTCCGATCAGCGAGCACCGATCTCCCGGGAGACAATGGCGGGGCGGGGCTCGAATTTACATCGAAATCGACTCCGGTGCTGCATCGCTTAATTTCGGTGCCCTTTTATGCCGTGATTCCGCGGCATTCATTTGTCTTCATTACTCTCTCATTATGACCGAACGCTAACCTACATTACTTGGCTGTCTAGATACCGATCAATACCATTTCTCGGACCGAATAATCATCTGCTCTACCTAATGGCGTGCCACCAAAGTGGCTCGTGCTACTTGTCCACGAAACACTGTCCGGCGTCGCCGAAGAGCGACGGCACCGCTCGTCTAAAATATCGATCTGCGCTACTTGTCCTACTGAATAGAGCATTAAAAAAGAGGCTCAAGAGACATATATATTATATATGTATATATTCTTTACCGAAAGAGCGAAAAACGGTTGATGCTTGTCCTAAAATCCGGCAGTTTGACGTCGAATTTCGCTTTTGTGTTTTGCCAGCGCTCGAGGACGACGAGACATCTGTTTGTACGGATTTTAGAGTACGTCGCCTCTAAGAAGTTCTACGAAGAAGTGTCTTATTCTCGGTATATGGAAATGTTCTAATAAGATGAGTAACGGATTCGAACGGGTTCTCGCTCGACGATGTTTCGTAGATCCGCGCAGAACATTTCCAACCTCCGCGGCACGCAGCTTTTCCGTTAAGGCGCCGACCTATCTTAATCGCAAGTGCATGACCCGGCCGTATAGTTAATTCCGTGGCGAGCATTTGTCTTCGTCGTTCTCTGATTCTCGCGAGCGGGTTCGTGGTAACCGGTTGCGGCGCACGCGACCGCCTTCCCGCCTCGCCTTCGTCCATGAATCGCCCGAGCGGAGCATGCTAATGCGCAAAAAACGAGCCGACTTTCTCGGATTTGTGTCGGTCGGTTTCGTGAGCTACGGTACTCGGTCGTTGAAGCGGAGTCGTCCTTGCGCAAACAGAGGAAACTGCGCGCGAAATTTTTACGCCGTTTCTTTGCCACACTTTATTATATGGATGGATCCTTTGAGAACGATACGATCTTGCGAAAGCGTCTGGCTTCGTCCGACAGCAACCTTGACGAATCCTCGAAACGAGACGCGCGGAGAAGAGACGGGCGGCAGTTTAATACGTGCGGGAAGATCGGGGCGGTTGGAGGGTTTAATATGTACGACGTCCTCCGGGCGTTAGAATCATTCGGTATCGATCACCGACCGCCTATGACGCAGTCTGCTCCGGGAACTTCGAACTCGACCAATCGGAAGACACGGGATAGCGAACCAAACAACTCGATCTTTCGGAATTATTGTACCTTTATATTTCGATAGATTCTGTATAGAAGTAACATAGAATTAACACGGTCGGACAAGCTGCATAGAATCTACGTAGACGGACGAGTAGCGCGGAATATACATAGTCGGACAAATAGCTTTACGTGACCAGGGAAGTAGTAGAGAGGATCGTAGTCGGACAAGTAATATTACAATCGTAGAGTAAGACAGGTCGTATGGCATTTATACGGTAAGACAAGTGGCATACGTACAGTGAAACAAATGGTATTGCATTCGTACAGCAAGACAGTTCATATTAGATTCATAGAGCGATACAAGTAGTCTAAAAGCCACATAGTCGGACTAGAATTAAATTCGCGTAGTAGCATAGAACATGGCGTAGACTACGATAGCATGAAAGTAGCGCAGAATTTCTGTAAGAAAATGACTCAAAATTGAGGATTGACGAATCCTAATTCAACCGATTACGCAGATCTGCAGAAAATTTTCCTTCAGCTTCTAAACAAAAGTGAACAATTTGGAAAAAGTAGATAATCGATCAGTAGATTATTCGAGCCTCGCGGCTCATTTTTATAGCCGCCGATCGTTAACGATTATAAAAACGAGGCGCTCGGCTCGAATAATCGTATCTCGTCTTCCCAAATCGTCCATTTTCGTTCGCAAGCCGAAGGAAAATCAGGGAGAATTTGCTGTATTTTGCTATTAGCGAAATGGAAATGAACTGGAAAATGAGACGACAGCAGAGAAGCGTTCAGAAAGCATCCTCGTTAATTTATTATTGTCGCCGAACAAACATCGCTCGTGTTTCTTTGTGAACCCACGTTCGTCCTCGAATGCTGTTTAACGCGGAGCGACGGGGCGGCGGGGGAGCGAGAATCAATCAAGTTTACGCAAACACGTGTTTATATGATTCGCGACGCGGACGCGAGCGCGAGCGCGCAATAATGCAAAGCAAATACGCCCCGTTAAGTGTGGAATTCCCGTTGTCTCGCGATTCCCGGTGTTCGGAAATCTTGTTCGGCTCGGGTCCGCTGTGGGAACGGACAATGAAATTGTCTCGGCTGAAAAGGCGTAAACAAAGTCGCCGCCGGGCTCCGCGCGGACGGTGAAATCCCGAGATGAAAATCACCGGGCGGAGAAAGAAAAACGATCGGCGCGAAACCGCATTCGCTGCTCGCGAAGTACGGTTGCATTCGATCCTGAATGTGCAGCCTGCGTGCCCTGCGGGGTCGCGTTTCGGACGCAGTCCGCGGCCGCACCGCTCGTGCAAATAATCATACGCGCGGAGAAGTCCTTCATGCTCGACGATCAACATCTAAATCACCGCTC